CTTGCCCAAAATCCACAAGATCAAGAATATTATTTAACTCATGTTCCTCCACACCTCCCAAAAATATATTTGATTTTTCATGGTTTACCCTAAGGTCGGATGCATCCCCAAAATTCTTGAGAGCATTCACCAAAATCTCAATAGAATAGGTGTCACCTCTCGAGAAGAGTATTAGGTCATCCGCATATGCCAAATGGATAATACCAAGGGATGAGCATTGTGGGTGAAAGTTGAAGTTTGGTCCATTAGTTCGAATTTTAATAAGTGTAGAGAAATATTCATGGCAAAGCACAAAAACATGGGTGACATCAGGTCACTTTGTCTTATGCCCCTCTTCCCTTTAAAAATCCATACAAATTAAACTTCCATTCAAAGATATAGAAAAAGATGCAGTCGTGACATATGCCATAATCCAACCAATAAATGTAGTAGGAAAATCCAAGCCTTTAAGAACATCCTCTAGGAACTCCCAAGAGATCGTATCATAGGCCTTACGCAAATCCACCTTAATCATACAACGAGGTGAGATTCATTTCCTGGCGTATCCTCTAACAAGTTCTTGTGCTAAGAAAATGTTATCAAACATTAGGCGGACATCAACGAAAGCACCTTGTGCTTGATCCACGAGGGTTGGGAGATACGGTGCAAGTCTAGAGGCTATGATTTTTGCAATGACCTTGTACATCACATTAGTGCACGAGATGGGTCTATAATCCGAAACCCTTGGAGAGTGGCTAGTCTTTGGGAAAAGAACAATAATCGTATGGTTAATTTGTTTAAGAAATTTACCCGTAGAAAATAACTCCCTCACGGATTTGATCATTTCGTCCCCAACAACTTTTCAATTTGATCTAAAAAATGTTGAAGAGTACCCATCCGGCCCGGGGGCCTTATCGTTACGAATCTAAAGAAGGGTCGTCTTGGTTTCCATATCAGAGATTGGTTTGATAAGGCCATTTTGATTATTGGGGTCAATTTGGGGACCGGTACTCATAGTTTCATCTATAGTAACACAACCAACATGAGTACCAAATAAGTTAGTAAAAAAGCTCACAATTTCGTGGCTGACTTGGTCTAATGAGGTGGTGAGGGATCCATCTTCCAATGTAAAGGATGCTATGGCATTCCTTGCTGCATTCCTCTTCACTATGGCATGGAAGCATTTGGTTCCTTTGTCCGCCTCAAATATATGTGTAACCTTGGCCTTTTGTTGGAAGAAAAGTGTCTCAGCTTCACCTAAAAAATAGCCTTCTTTTTCGTGTCTTCAGTCTCTTTTTTAATAGCTTCATCAAGAGGAGAGGTAAGTGAAAGATTAAGCAATCTATTATAATCCTCCTTTGCCATTTTTTCTCTCATGGAAATGTGACCAAATTCCAATTTGCTTAGTTGCTTTAAAGGCCCCTTGAGGAGTTTAAGCTTCCTTACAAATTAAATGAGAATTGAGTCATACCATTACATAAAAATTCCTATTTTCATCAACAATTGTAGCAAACCTTGGATGTTTAATCCACATATTATAAAATTTAAAAGGTCTAGGTCGTGTGTTAGAGTTTTGGAGTATTGATACAACGAAAGCCGTGTGATCAAACTCCACTTCCATAGTATGGAAGGGAACTCTACAATCAATGCCAAATAAGCTCCAAGCCTCATTCATAAGTACACGATCCAGTTTGGCCCAAAGTTCTCCTCTATTCCAAGTAAAAAATTCCCCTGTAGAGGGAGCATCTTGAATGCTTGTAGCAATTTTAAAATCATTCAAATCTTGCATCATATATGCAGTAGGGAGGTTGGACTCCAACCTTTCATTTGGGGAACAAACACAATTAAAATCTCCCGATACAAGCCAAGAATCATCAATTTGGTTTCTTGTTTGTGTTAGGTACTCCCAAAGAGATTTTCTATCCAAGACCGTGTATAAGGGATATACAAACGTCACATATTTAATATGTTGTGTTACCTTTCACTTTCAATAACCCCACAATTAACAAAATTAGGCTTCCACATAATGGCCATTCGTCCACCATCAATCCTATCAAAATTTGTGACAAAATTTCATGCATGCCACTTATTACGAACATAGTTATTAAAAGCCTCTTTAGACATCTTGGTTTCCAAAAAAACAATACAAATTAATACTATTTAATTTAATAAAACTAGAGATAGTATTATGTTTGGAGGTTTTGTTCAAACCTCTCACATTTGGGTATTTCTTAACTGCAGGTTTAGTTGACTACAAGGGTAAGTTAGAGGACAAAAAAAGCCAATAGGCAAACCAGGAACTCCATATGTTTATCCGTATATACTCTTGCAATTTTTGTGTGGCTTTTACATAAGATCAAATCTCAACAGTTCATAGATTCTGCAAACTTACCAAAGGTCCTAGAAAGTTAATTTCCTGTGATTGGTTTTACCTCTCAAAGTGAAAAGGAGAGTAACTGAATAAATATGATCAACAAGAACTAATTGTGGCCATATTACAATTGTTGCTTAGTACTATCTCTATTACTTTTTTAGAGACTGAAAAATAGGCTATTAACACATAGCAGTGTGATTTTCTATTTGTCTGAGCATGTTTTTGCTACAATGGTCAGTGTAATAGGAGTTTTATAATCTTTTTCTTAACATTTGGGCGTAAAAAAAATGTATTAAGAGTTTAAGTGAAATTGCGGTGGTCTTGGGTAATAAGTATACATTTTGGTCATATTATAAATAAGAGAAAGGTTCCAGAAAAGAGAAGAAGAAGGTCATACATATTTCTTACATCAAATAGCAATTAAAATAGTATTTATACTACTCATGGGACCACAAAAAGTCTCAAAAAATGATGTACTGTATATGTGTGTATGTATAAATAAATATTTATAATCAGTCAAAAATATAGTAAAATTCTAAGTTTTGACCCCTCCGTCACTAGGTAGGAAGGAGCTATACAAGGCTCTTGCAGTCCGGCCCAGTCCTATTCTAGTCTAATTACTCTAATAAATTCTTTTTATATTTACATCTTTGTTAAAGTTTATAGGGAAAACTGTCAAATAGTTCCTCGAACTTTCATAAAAAAGTCAATTAAGTCCTTCTATAGGAGACTCTGTCCGGTCGTCGCGATTTGGGGCGGTTCCCGGTGGAATTATTTGATGAAAGTGTTTGAGCATCTTATTCGTCAAGTCTAGTTTACTCATACCAAATTTCAGCTAAAAATTTAATCGGGAGCGCATTCAAATTAATTCGAGAACGCAAAAATGCGCAGTATCTTAAAGAATTAATTTGAATGTGGTCCCGAATGAACTTTTAGCTGAAATTTGGTATGAGTAAACTAGACTTGGTGAATAAGATGCTCAAAAAAATTAATCAAAAAATTACACCGGGAACTGCCCCAAATCGCGACGGCCGGACAGAATCTCCCATAGAAGGACTTAATTGACCTTTTTATGAAAGTTCGAGGACCTATTTGACAGTTTTCCCAAGTTTATATGTTATATCATTGTTGCTTATTGTACACACCTTTTTGTATTCACCGGTACACACCTTTGTGAGTAGGCTATTTTTTGTCTGTGAGTAGCCTGTTTGCAGACAAAACATGTTTTGTCTTTGAACAGGTTATTCATAGACATAAAAAACCTATTCACAAACATGTTTGTCGTTGAGCACAAAAAAGTGTGTACAAACGGATTTTTCCTTTTAATATATGCAATGCCAAATCATACGAGTTTTTTAAATTGTGTATTTCACATGCATAATTGTGTGAAACGTATTGATATAAGAAATAAGTCAGATAAATTTGAATTGCAAAAACAAAGAATTTTTTTATGTACAACACTTGCATTTTCTGGTATTTTCATACGGAGTTAAAATTAGATAAAAGCATACTTTCACTTTCTAAACTAACGTAGACTATGTGCTGGCCACACTCCTGCAATTGGGAGGAATCAAATAAGCATTTCCCAAAACTTAATGGTTCGTATCTGATAACTGCGCAAAAGGCAACAATGCTATACCATGACAGACAATCATACTATAATAAGAATCACAGTAAAGTTGGTTCAGTGGTGGAAAATTTGGAGCTCTGCGTGTGAAGGTTACACCTCCTGCGTGTTGGGCTGGACCTCTGGTGTGCACGGGTATAAAACCTACCATTATTGGGTCGACTGAGTCACCGTGACTTACTCACTTACATGCTCCCAAAAATTCTGTCGAGTCGAGGTGTGGGGGCTCATGAGATGAGAGATTCTACCTTTTTTTGGAACAATAATAAGAATCAAAATTTAGAACCCTTTCTAGTCACCCCTTTTGCCCAATTACCTTTCCAAAAATACTTGATGTACACACTTTTTAGGTGTACACACTTCTCTACACGCGTAGGCTTTTTGTAAACAAGTTTTAGGTGTACGCACTTTTACACATGTTTGTGTAGGCTTTTTTTGTCTGTGTAGGCGTTTTAGGTGCACACCTATATCCAATCCTTCCTAAACAAACCTATATTCAATCTTTAACTATATTCAATCCTTCCTACACAAACTTAGTCCAACTGTTACCTATATCCAAGTTGGACTAAACAAACTTAGTCCAACTGTTACCTATATCCAATCTTTAACTAGATTTGGATACTGCTTTTATAATCTTTAACTAAGTTTGTACTAATATAATTCAATATCAAAAATTGATAGTGAAAGCTTAAGTCTTAAACTTTATACAGCCTTATCATGGGACTATTCCTAGAACCCTCACCTTGAGGGTGCCTTTTAATAATGTTACTTTCTCATTTCTTAATATTAATGAGAATGAGATAGAGGTAATTTATCGTCATTTGTGAAGTTAGGGTAATGTCCATTATCCAGGATTGGAGAGAATCGGATCCTCTTTTTACAATGGTAACCTCACAATGAAATAAATACAGATTCCAAATAAATTAAAAGCTACTCCTTTTTACAATGGAGTACTAAATAAGATGAGCCAAGCATGCGGCAGGCCTTATCAACATCAAATTCAGAAATAAAAGAAGAAAATATTGGAGAAAAAGGTATGAAAAGCCATTCCTTTCATTAATTATTTCATCATCAACTCACCCAAAATACTAATATTTACATCTCAGCCTTCTCTTATGGAAAGAGAAGAAGCAACAATCCATCTATCCTTCCACATAACTATAATGAGGAGTATAATTATCCATTCATTCTATTTCTCCCCAGCTAGCTACTTGTACAAACAAACCCCAAGCTCAGCCAACCCAATCCTTCAATGAATGAATTGAAGAATAAACTACCTTGCTTCTCAACATCTATCCTCATAATTAATGTACAGAAACTAACATACCATTTGTACAACAAACATTGGCATGTACAGGACCTGCTTATTCTCTTCACTAACTACCTATAACTCTGCTTCTTCCATTTCCATAAATAAATCCCCTCTTCTCCTCGGCCAATTGTCGTCCCCATTCGTTGCGAAGAGCTCAACTGATAAATCCGCAAGCTTTTTCCCGTTTAACCGAGATTTCGGTACCCTAAATTGCCTGAAAGGTGCATTTGGGGCTTCCACTTCATCCACCACATCACTCCATTTTGATTTCTCAGTGCAGTTTCTGTTCTTGAAGCCAACAGTTTTCCTTGGTGTGCTATACTCGAAATGCCATTTCTTAGCAATTAAGGTCTGTTTGTCATCACAATTTCAAAACCATTAAAACAAAAAGGTGGAGAATACACTAAAAACAGTCACAGGAATGGATTTAGTAGTTTCCAAATTCCAAACATAGACACACTTACGGCTTCTCGAATTCCCTTTGACACATGAAACAGTCTCTTCAAATCATCATGTTCCACCCCACAGACTATTTTGATCTGCAATTGCATTTCATTTCACAGAATTAAACTCAACTAACTTGTGCTGGGAATGAAACATACTCCGTATAATATATAGACAGCTAAAATTGAGATCTGAAAATATGTACCAGAACATCCTGCGGCAAAGAATCAAGAACAGACTTTTGACAAGCAGGAAATGAAACCTCGGAACAATGTCTCTTTGGAGGGGAGGAGTCGGTGGTGGAAATGAAATCTTCATTATGGTCGTCTTCTTCCATTATAGCAGCAGCAGCAATTGGCAAGGCAACTCTTTTCCTCCCAAACGAGCGGCTCCTCACCAACCCTAACCCCAACCCTTCACCCTTTTTCCACCTAGCCATTGCTGTGTACACCTTTCTTTCAGAAAGCCCCAAAATCAGATTTTTTTCACTACCCAAACAGCCAACAAAACCCAATCTTCCGGCCAGAGAGCCAAAAATCTAAAAAGAATCCAAATTTATCCAACAGAGAAGGAAAGAATTGAGAACCCTAATTTTAAGGGAAGGAATAAATAGAGATTGGGTAACTGGTCTGAGTAAAGAAGGGGACTGGAGAAGAAAATGGTTGTGTCTAGCTCCGTTTGCTCCTAAGAATGAGAACCGTCTTCCAAGATTGGACTATCTTCGCTTTGCGGAAAAGTCTGCATTTTTTCACTATATATAGAGGGAGCCTCGGAATTATCAATATTCACCTTATTTTCCCCATTTTGGTTATATTAAACGATAAATAACAAATTGAATGAAGAGTTCTACTTCTACAGTGGTTTCTTTACGCTTCTAGTAGACCCCACGACTCACGAGTAACTGTGCTTGAACCGCGTCTCCGAAACCACAATAATTAATTTTCTTTACGGCAGTTTCTCTGATTTTAAAACGCAGAGAAAAAAATGGCAAATAAATTGAGTAAAATTCAGAAAATTATACTTTGAAATCCAAATATTGTACGACGTGTTAAATAGATTTTGGGCTTGTTTGGTTTGATGTTTGAAAGAGGATGATGGAGGAAAGGATAGATTTTTATGTTATTGTTATTATTATTACTACGAATTAGTTATGATTATCTTCAATTAAATCAATAATTGCTATACTACGCGTTAAAGTCAAGTAACCCTTAAATGGTTTATAATTTAGAGCACATTTAGTAGCATGAAAATCGGTTGTTTTGGTTGATTTTGCTGAAATTTATGAAGTTATGGCTGAAGTGCCTGCATTGGTTGATTCTAGTCATTTGAGAATTAAAATATATTTTATCAATAAAATAAAGAAAAAATTATATGTAAAAATAGTTAAAATGATCGTCTACAGTAACTTCAGTCAATACAGCCAGAAAAGTAACTCTAACCTTACTTTTTCTGCTTATTACACAATTCAGCGCGTGAAAGCAAAAATTACGTCTTTGGTGAAAAAGTTGACTAATAAGCCAAAAAAAGTGTTACCAAACGGGCTCTTAATCAAGACATAAAAATTATTTCTATATGTAATTAACTTGGTATTTTAATAAATTTGATGGACAGTGTACTCAGGGGGTAGCTTGTCCGAGATGTTATTTCGAGGAATAACCTAGAGAGAAGTCAGAGCAGTAAGTAAGAGAAAGAGTGTGTATTTGAATAGAAAGTTGTGTGTCCATTACAATGGAAAGTGGCTGCTATTTATAGTAGTCATAAATGTTAGGCAGAGACATGTGTCAAGCATCTGACGGCCGAGGGTCTCCTCAATCGAGGTGACACCGTCACACCGGCACTCGCGTGTGCACCGCATTAAATGTGGTGGTTGGGTGTGACGTACGTTGTACTTAACGTGGTTATTCAGCGCATGTGGGAGAGCAGATCTTGTCGACAAGAGTGCCTTCGACTATATGTGACGAAGGCTCCACATACCGGGGACATTATGTGTCGAAGGTTGTATGTGCCGAAGGCTTGGTTTTCAAGTCTTGTTCTCATGTGATGTTTATTGACTTGGTTTCATGAACGCAAAGCCTTTGGGCAGGGGCGGATGTATGCTTGGCCAGGGGTGGGCTTCAGCCCAGCCCAACTTTTTTTAATAGTATTGGTACATTTTCAATTCTCAGCCCAGCCTAAATTTAATTGTCAGCCCACCCCACAAATAATTCTCATCCCAGCTCACAGAAACAAACAACCCATAGCCTCCCTTACGCTTACCACTTACGGCTTACCTGACTTACGCGAAGGGATGGACGGAACTCACGGAAGTCACCGAACCGCGAACGACCGAGCGGGCGAGGAAGGCGATGGCGCGACGCCCCGACGGAAGTGCTCCGCACCGAAGCATTGAACGCCGAAGTGTCGAACGGAACGCCTCTGCGGGGTGCGGCTCTGCCTGACTGCCTCCAGACTCCCTCTTTGGGCCTTTGGCTCTGTCGTCTGTCGTTTCTCGACCAGTTCTCCAGCCGTCCAGCGTCCAGCGAGTAATATGCGAGGTTCATGGAATGGCCTTCAGGCATTATTTCGTAGAGATTGTCCTTATGTATATTACATTCATTGTTTTGCACATCGCTTACAACTTGCGTTGGTTTCTGCGGCTAAGGATGTGAGCTTAATTTGGGAATTCTTCTCTCACTTGGATAATATTGTTAATATTATCACTTCTTCACCAAAGCGGGTATCGGAGTTGCATGTGTCTCAAAGAAGTGAAATTGAGAAGTTATTAGCAACCAGGGAGCGCGAGTTGGGACGTGGTACAAATCAAGTTGGTAATTTGCAACGATCGGGATCTACTCGTTGGGGTTCTCACTATAGATCCGTGATGAGTTTGATAGACATGTATGCCGCAACTTGCAAAGTGTTTGAACATTTGGTTGAGAACTCTCCAAATGGAAGATCTAAAGGTGAAGTTCTTGGAACCTACAGAAAAATGGCAAGCTTTGAATTCGTGTTTGTCTTACACTTGATTCATAAACTTCTGAGAATAATTGATGATCTTTGCTAGGTTCTTCAAAAAAACTCTTGATATTTTGAGTGCTATTACATTCGTTGGTACTACTAAAACTATCCTTTGAGAGTTAAGAGCATCTGGTTGGGAGGAATTTCTTAAAGAATGCAAGAGTTTTTGTTCTTCAAATGATATTGATGTTCCAAATTTGGGTGATCCATATAAGATTGGGCGTTCTCGTTCCCAACCAACAATTGAACATCATTATCATTTTGATGTCTTCAATGAAGCAATTGATTTTACTTTGACTGAGTTAAGCACGCGCTTTAATGATACATCCATGGAACTTCTTCAACTTAGTCTTGCTTTGGATCCCAAGAACTCCTTCAGCTCATTTAACAGTGAGGATATCTGTAAACTTGCAAAAAAGTTTTATCCTGCAGATTTCACTGATCAAGACATTGTCTCACTTGAGTATGAGTTGATTCACTACAAGCATGATATTGTTTCAACATCTGAAGCGTCCACACTTGTTGAGTTATGTCAACATTTGACGGAGAGTGGGAAATCAGAAATCTATGTTATGTTGACGAGACTAATTCGTCTAGTTTTGACCTTACCTATTTCTACTGCTACTACGGAAAGAGCATTTTCAGCAATGAAGCATGTGAAGACGGCACTTCGTAACAAAATGGGAGATGAGTTTCTTGAAGATTCATTGATGATCTACATTGAACGAGACTTTGTCAATAATATAGATGTAGATTCTATTATTGATGAATTTTATACTTTGAAGTCACGTAGGGCACAACTTAAATGATGGTTTAATGAATTTTTAAGTGTTGACAACTTTACATATTATTATGTATGTGTATTTCAATTTTTTCCCTAGTCCACCCTATTATGAATTTCTGGATCCACCCCTGCCTTTGGGCATGAGGCCAAAGGCACACCTTGTGTATTATGAGCTGCCTGGAGTCCTGTTCGCTGGGCTTGGCCCATTTGGACCTGTTGGGCCTGATCGTAATAGTGGAAGTATGTGGGCCGAGGGTTCCTGAGCCATATACTCCATCAGGAGTCCCCCACTCCTTTTGTCGAGAGCTTCTCGAAGGAAATATGAGTAAATGTTGTGAAGTTGCTCATGACTGCTTTGTTGTAGTTTGTAGAGTAGTGAAACATTTGTGTTTGTGTGTTTTGCCGAGGGCCGCCCTCCAATCCCCCACATTTTGGGACTGAATGCTTTTGTTGGTTCCTTGAGAAAACTTTTAACTTTTTGTGATTTTCCTGGAGGGGTTCTACAGTCCCCCACTCCTTGAGGCACATGTAATGGGGTGAAAAGGAGTAGAGTAATGCTTGTCTTCAGTGGGGAGCCGACGGCTGACGCCTTTTGCTTCATTTTGGGGAGATGCCTCGTTAAAAACCTCATTAGGAAAAACCCTGTGGAAAAAAATCCTTATGAGGGAAAAAGAGTGCACTGGATGCCCCCAAAATGAAGTAAAAAGGTGAACCCTTCGGTCCAAGGTGAAGGATAAAGCTGAGGTCGAGGACCATTCATGATCTGTGGAAAGTAGCCGCGAGAAGCTGAGGGCTGCTTGTGACCTGAGGGCGCCATACTGAGAGGTTGAAGGCCGCCTATGACTGAGTGCCGTTGGTGATCCGAGGGCGGGACCGTTGTGGATGAATGCAAGTGATTGTTCCGATGTTGGCCGAGGGAAGCCCCCAATCCCACACGCCTTCGTGCTGAGGATTACCTCTGGATGGAGGGTTCTGAAGGTGACAGCCAAGGGCTATCCTGTTTCTGTTTGAGGGGTGTCAACTGAGGGCATCCCAGTGTTTCAAAAATAGCCGTTGGGATATGACCGTTGGAGAAGGTGTCCACGTGGTGCTTGCTGGCTGGCCTGTATTGGGTGGGCGGCACCGATTGGTTGAGACCGCGGTTAGGGGTGACGGGCCTTTAACTGGAAGCCCAGTTCTCGGCCCAAACTCTAGACGGGGAGGCTATAAATACCCCTGGCCTCATATCCGTCGTGAGATTTGTTGTAGCGATGCTCTACCAAAATTTTTCTAGAGAGAGAAAGCGCTTAAGTTGATCAACCCAAGTTTCTGAGGTCAGTTCTTCCTCTTTTCTTCACACTTCTTGCATAATCTGCTTAGCCAGCCTTTGATTTAGTGTTAGTCCTTTAGGACCCTGCTTTCCCTCTACTTCTTTCTTCAACAATCCCGAAGGATGTCATCAGCCAGCGATTCACAAGACATTTCCCGAGAGCCTTCGGTGCAATCCGAGACTTGGTCAGATGAGGGATCAGCAAGTTGGGAGGCCTCATCGCATGACGATTCTGCCATAGCATAAGAGGTGCAAAAGGACCTCGTTGCCGAAGCCGAGGCTGAGGATTTTGAGCAAGTTGTGGAGGATGAGGAGCTTGCCCTCGCCGTGCAAATTGCTGAGGAGGAGGAGGAGGAGGAGAGGCAGAAGGTCACCATCACTGTCCTTTCCCCACGTCATGCAGGTGAGGCAAGTAGTTCCCGGCCTCTCGACCCGAACCTTCTCGGGGTGGCCTCGGGTAAGAAAAAGAGGAAGGAGAGGGCCGCACCAAAGAAAAAGCAGGCCGTCGTTGATGCTGGAAAGCCGGTGGGCATCCCCAAAGGCTATTCATTTCTGAACACCGCGGCCCTGGATGTGAAGACGAGGGCGACTGATGCTGAGTACCAAGCAACGCAGTTCTTCGTACTTCGTAGGCCCCTCGGCACGCGTGGTGGATCCGGGTCCAGATGACGTTTTGTTGCGTGCACCCGAGGGATGTTTTGTCGTCCACATTCTGTCGGTGG